ACTGCAATGATTCATCTTCTTTGGTTCTTTCGGTAAAGTCACGCTGTCCTACCAGACAGTCTCGTCCCTTCACCTGATGAAGGCCGCTTGTGTTGTGGCCGAAACGTCGTGAGACTATTATTGTGTTATTTTATTTTATCAATTTATTATTTTATTCTCATTCTACGTGACTTTACCGAAAGAACCAAAGAAGAAGTGTGCACTGAATTTAAATTTTGATTGAAAGCTTTCGTGACTGCAGTAATTCATATTCTTAGCTCTTTCGGTAAAGTCACGTTGAAGGGAAACAATAAAATAATAAAATATATATAAAACAATAAAAAATTCTCACGACGTTTCGACCATAACACAAACGGTCGTCATCACTGAAAATCACGACGTTTAGATGGCGACCGTTTGTGTTATGGTCGAAACGTCGTGAGAAATGTTTATTGTTTTATATATATTTTATTATTTTATTGTTTCCCTTCAACGTGACTTTACCGAAAGAGCTAAGAATATAGTGTGCACTGAATTAAATAATATAAGTATTGTTTGTTGTTGTTGTGTCTGTAAGCACGGGGTGTTGTGGTGCTGTGCCTGGCACCGTAGCTCAAGATGTAAAAGGTCTCAGTGGAGCAGACGGGCGTGCGTCTGTGTGTCGACGTGGGGAGCGGTAGTCTAGCGGTTAGCGCTATGCTGCGCTACGAACCTGGCAACGCGGGTTCGATTCCCGCACATGGTCAACACCAGTGACGAATATCTGAATCGGTCCTGGGCCTCCCCTAGGTCGACTCAGCCTCAAATGAGTACCTGGTGCAGTGTGTCAATATCGCCACTGGGGAGACAAAGGCGATCGGGCGTGGTGCTGGCCACCCACCCCCTCGTGTACCATTACGGCCTTCATAGGTGGTCGCTAATAGCACTTGTGCCAACAGTCTGTTAAGGCTATACGGGGGATCTTTGTCTTTGTAGGTATGTTTATGTACACGGTAGTGTAGCGGTTAACATACTGCACTACGAACCTAATGACCCGAGTTCGATTCCCGCTCACAGCCATCATCAGTGACAATTATATAAACCGGTCATGGGCCTCCCCTAGGTCGACTCAGCCTCAAATGAATACCTGGTGTGGTGTGTAAACATAAGCACTGGGGAGACAAAGGCGGCCGGGCGTGGTGTTTCCCACCCACCCCTGTCGTGTACTTCATCGGTGCTTGCTAAAAGCACTTGCCGCAACAGTTTGTTCCAGGCTATACGGGGATGTTTGTATTATGTACATGGAGCCACTCATTCACTGAACACTGCCATGTATGATGACGTGGGTTATTACTCAAGTACTGTGTGTGGTTAATGCAGACTTGGTTCCTTGCAAAAGGTTTCTATTTGGTATTTGAACATCTTAATACAACTCCTGTTTTATTGCCAGTAAGGGTAAAACCTATTCTTATTTTTTCATACTTTGATACTGGCAAAAAAGGTCCCTTTTTGGAACTCTGCTAGTCGTACGCCAGCCGATGCAGCCGTCCATTCTACAACTTCCCCAACGTTCACGGTTTTGTTTTGTTAAGCGAAACCACGAGGGCTCGGTTAGAGAAGAGAGATTAAAAAAGACAACCCACGCGCCGCCCATTTGATAATATCTTTTCGATTTAATGAAAAAAACAAAAAATGAAATGAAACGCCAAACTCCTCGGTACAAACGCTCATTTGTCAAAACTAGCTTGACGCCCGTGAGCACGGCACGTAAGTCCGTGTTTGCACACACCTCTCGTGCCGCGATCTCATCCAAACTGCCAACATTTTGCTGCCGTTCTCTAAAATGTTGGGGGGGGGGGGGGGGGGTGGTAATTGCATTCGCGAACATAATATTTTTTTGGTTTGACACGTAGACTTTTGCGACCAAAATCATCCATAATAGATGTTTTTGGGTTAGATCGTGTAAATATATAAATGTGTCGTTAAAACCCGCCACCACTCGAAACAGCCAACTAGTAAGGGTTGTCACGTAAACAGAACATGCCAATTCGTCACTAGTACGGTGTGTTGGAGAGCCAAGTCACAACATTTACAATCTGAGTACGACGTTTCGCCAGTAATTACAATTAACTTAATCAGGCGTAAGACAGATTTGTGGAGAAGTCTTACTGTTTCGTTCCTTATACAGAGGCGTAGATGTGTTGACCAAGCTTCTGCGCTCTTGCACAACGTGGGGGGGGGGGGGGGGGCTAGATTTCTGAGGCAACGTACATTATGCATGTGCATTATGCGAGCCCCACCATCATCCCGCACAGAAATCTGCTCTTATCAAGACGCTCATTCATCGAGCTAAGAAAGTGTCAGATGGTGACAGTCTGAGAAGTGACATTCAACATGTTAAAGAAGCACTGCAAATGGACGGTTACAATGATGTACAAATCAACAGGGCATTGAATACCAAAACTGAATAAAATAACAAGAGCATTGAAACTGCCCAAGTAATTAAAATGATCAAAATACCGTACATTGCGGAAGTAACTGATAAACTAGCCAGATGTTTGGAAAAACAAAACATCCGAGTCAGATTTGGCATGGTACATAAAATACAGAAATTGATATCTGGTACAAAAGATGTATTACCGAAGCTATCAACAGAAAGTGTATACAGGATTAACTGCACGTGTGGTAAATGTTATGTTGGGCAAACAGGACGAATGATCAGCACGAAACCAAAAGAACATCAGAGAAATATAAAATTATTCCAAATACAACTCAGCAGTAGCAGAACACGCGTGCCAACAACTGCCAAATCGCTCTCCGTGGTGCTAATGTTAAAAAAACCCGCCACTTTTTTCAAATTTTCTTGCTGTGGTTTTCACACCTGATGATGACTACTTGTGTTGCAGTCGAAACGTCGTGATAATTTTATTGTTTTATATTTTTATTATTTTATTGTTTCCCTTCTACGTGACTTTACCGAAAGAACCAAGAATAAATCAAAATAACTTAGATAGATTTCCGACCGTCATCACCTAGCCAGTGAACTTGAACACGTAGACTAAGCTCTGAAGATGAATGGATATTCAGACCACACAATCCGTAAAGCTATCACCCCAACCGTTGGGAAAGAACCATCTGAGGACCCAATCAAAACCATCACCTTGCCATACATAGCAGGGGTCACTAAAAAGATTTCCAAAATCATGAGCAAACACAAGATCCAGGTTCGATTTAACAAAGTACATAAATTTTGATGTAAAGCTTTCGTGACTGCAGTAATTCATATTCTTAGCTCTTTTGGTAAAGTCACGTTGAAGAGAAACAAGAAAATAATAAAATATATACAAAACAATAAAAATTCTCACGACGTTTTGACCATAACACAAACGGTCGTCATCAGGTGTGTCGGTTCGCATTAAATTATTTATTTTTAAACGGTGTATTTATTTATTTAAAAAAGTCAGCGCCACGCACAGCGATTTGGCAGTTTATTTAAAAGGACGAGTCCATCTATGTTCTGAAAAGAGGAGGGGGGAGACGAAAAATTAATGTATGCTGTCTGAAACCCACTGTAAGCATGAACAGTCAATTAAGACCTGAAATGGTTTATCACATCTTTCCAATGATTGCTAAGCCAGAATCCATCTTCTTGGTTGAAATTGTCTCTGTGCTTGTATATGTGGATAGCCTCATGAACGAATCTCTCATGGTAGCCAGATGGCTTACAAAGAACCTCTGTCTTGGAGAAGTCAATGTCATGTGAGCCTACTGAATTATAACAATGATCTGCCACGGCCGAGGTGTTGGTCCTATCGTGTTTAAGGTCTGCTTTGTGTTCACGAATGCGGTCCGAGACATGGCGTTTGGTTTCTCCAATGTAACTACTACCACAGAGGCAACTTAGTTTGTAGACACCAGGGTACTGTATGTCCGGAATCACATCTTTTACAGATGGAACACACCGTTAAAAAATAAATAAATTAATGCAAACCGACACACCTGATGACGACCGTTTGTGTTATGGTCGAAACGTCGTGATAATTTTTATTGTTTTATATATTTTTTATTATTTTATTGTTTCTCTTCAACGTGACTTTACCGAAAGAGCTAAGAATATAAAGTACATAAAATTAGTGATCTGATCCCATCTGTGAAGGATGTGATCTCTGACATGCAATACCCCGGCGTCTACAAACTTAGCTGTGTCTGCGGTAGTAGTTACATTGGAGAAACTAAGCGACATGTCTCGGACCGTGTTCCTGAACATAAGTCAGATCTCAAACATGGTAGGACCAATACCTCGTCCGTGGCTGATCATTGTTTTAATGCGGTGGACTCACAGGAAATTGATTTCTCTAAGACGAAGGTACTTTGCAAGCCCACTGGCTATCAAAAAAGATTCGTTCATGAATCCTGGTGCAATGTGTAAACATGACCACTGGGGAGACAAAGGCGGCCATGCGTGGTTCCAGTTACCCACTCCCTCCATGTGCCGTTCCAGCCTTCATAGGTGCTGCTCGCTAACAGCACTTGCCCCAATAGTCTGTTAAGGCTACATGGGGGGTCTTTGTCTTTGTGATCTTTGTGTAAGCGCATACCAGGCAATGACTGCTGAGCGTCATGCGGTCTGAACGTTCGCGCGTGCTCACCGGCGCACTGGATTCCGCTATGGGCTCCGTGACATTGCGATAGGGGAATTGAGTTTTCATGCGATTATTGGTCTAAACTATGTTTTTTTTTCTTTTAAAACCATAATAGCAATAAGCACCAAACGAATAAAAAACAGTCAATCAAAATGAACGGCGAATCCTCGTGCAACATGCCTCATTAAATGAACTTAACCATTTATGTAAACACATTCAAGGAAAACATACAAAAGTGACCCTTAACTTATCTCACTGCACTCGCCCGTACGTTGAGATGCAGTCACATGATGAGGTAACCCATGTGGCCTGTGGCACTCTCATGCCGCAGCTGTAAACATCACACGGAATGGAAACAACATCGACGGTGATGCGACTCCCCCGTTGTTGTTGTTGCAGCCCACTATGGCTCGCAGAGGGCCCAGGAGGACTGGTGGGCCTACAAGGAAGTGGTGCAGGGGAACTTCATACCCGGTAAGAAGCGGAGAAGTAGTTTCGCTGAAGCCATAATAGAATAGACGGGGTGGTTTTTTTTGTTAGGTTAGATCCCGTAAAATATAAATGTGTCATTAAACACCGCCACCACCCATCTTGGGCCTCCAATAAGTATTGTTCATAGATAATGTTTCAACATGAAAGCATTATTGACTGTTAAGTGCTATGTGGCCGGAGTGGTGGTGCGGCAGCAGTGGGTGCACCACACGATACAAATCAGCGGCCTGGTCATGGCTGACATCCGTGAGGGAGCGATGCCTGAACCTGTCTTGGGCCTCCCCTTCAACTCGCATGACCTGCACGGTGAAGTGTGATCAAACTTTTTCCCGTGACCAATGGGGCACGGAGAGGCCTTCATAAATCCGTGGATTTAAGGAACTGTAATACATGTTATTATTTGAATAGTATTACTATTATTATTACTACGTTCTATTGCATTTAAAACAAACAAATATACGATTTAATCGTCATCCAATGGATATTTAATACCGAAACAGAAGTAGGATTTCTCCAGAATTCTGGCTGTTGCCTAATGATGCTGGTTGTTATTGTTATTGTAGTAATTACCGGTGAAATGTCACGGTACTCGAATTGTAAATGTTGTCGTGGGTTTATTCTCCAACACACAGCCAGTGTGATTAACTAGGAATTAATTAGCGTGTTTCTTTACCTGACAAACCCTACGAATTGGTTGTGTCGGGTGGTGGTGGTGTTTAACGACACATTTATATTTACGCCATCTAACCCAACAGAAACCTTTATTTATAGATTTGAAGCTTTCGTGACTGCAAGGATTCATACTCTTTGTTTTTTTCGGTAAAGTCACGTAGGTAAAATAAAATAAATGAAAACAACTAAATTAAATCACGACGTTTCGGAGGCAACACAAGCCTCCGTCTTCAGGTGGAACAGACACAGCAAAATTAGCTGTATGATACAGCTAAATTAGCTGTATGATACAGCTAATTTTACTGTGTCTGAAAAACCAAAGAGTAATACACCTTTATTGTGGATAATATTGGTCACAAAAGCCTACTCCGTGTTAAACAGTTTATCTTAGCCCATCCTCTAGATCATGACTTGTAATCTTCTTCCTCTGTGTTAATCAGATTCATCTTCTCTCTCTTTCTCATCCATTCATTTAAAATAAATCATCCACAAAAAACTTTCCCAGCACAAATTGCGACTGACTATGCTGGCTTATTATGCAACCTCATATAACGTGAATTACAGCAATGCCCACATCAATATACCCTGCTGGATATCTAATAGCTTTTAATACAATTCTCGGACATCCGCATAAAACAAAAAATTTCCCTCACGAATTCATATCACTTTGCAGAGGTTATGAAAGCAACACGCTCACACGCCACAGCCTTTGTTCGGCTCCGCTTTGCAGTTCATAGCGCCAATAATGTGGGAACATTTTATTTTGTTATTCCTTCACGATTTAGTCACTTGTGTGCGTGCGTGTGCAGCAACCGCGCTTCGTTTGAAAGCGCGCCGACGATGCCGTGAGAGTGAATTCCTGGGCGCGGCTGTGCAAAAGTTGCAAAGGACTAAAGTAGTAGCAACAACAACAACAAAAAGACCGATGGGTTTCATTTGTCGCTGCCTCGAGAACGCGAGGGCGAGAGTACTCGGTTGTTAAAGTAAAACGAAGCGACTTGGCTTGTTGTGTATTGCCGGAGAAATAAATTGTGTGCATTAAGAACCCACTCCTCCTGCGCCTCGTTTTTGCGGTGTCACCGAGTGCGTGGGGCATCCCTTGCCCTCTTTGTGTTTCTCTTACGAATTACGTCTTGCCTTTGGTGGACCTATAAATTACCAATTTGGCATGTGCAGTGCAGGAGTTGACAGGGCCATTTGAAATTGAGTCCCAGGTGAAAAATTAAGATAATTTCTCTCTTTTTTAATATATATTTAAAATAAACAGATTAACCAGTTTCAGCTGGGTAGTATTAGTCTGGGAAAGCCAATAAGCAGGTGGATTAAAACTTTTGTGTTTATCTTATCTTAATGGGATTTATAAAGCGCCCTAGTGAAATTGATGACAATATATGCCGATGAATGGATTGAATGAATGAGGAATGAGTGATAGTCGTGTAATGAGAATATGAAGAGGGGCCAGTAACGGTAGTGGTAGTCATGAGGGGGAGATTAAGGGGGGGGGGGGGTTGTGGGGGTGAGCAAGGGGTAACAAGAAGTGTGAGTTTTGAGTGCGGAGCGGAAACTAGTGAGCGAAAGTGACCGCTTAACGTGGAAGGGGAAGTTTCTTCCAGTGAAGGGGGGAGATGAAGAGAGATACAAGCGTGGGTTGAGTACAAGGAGGAGGAACAGAGAGAGACAGCAAATATTGAGAACGTAGAGAGGGAGAAGGTGACGTAGAAAGTCACAGAATAAAGTTGTGTGTGTGTGTGTCCGCTTGGCAGGGAGCGCCCGTGCAGCGGTTAGCATGCCGTGCTACGAATGCGGCGGCCCGAGGTCGATTCCCGCTCATGGCCAACAAAAATGACGATTATCTGAACCGGTCATGGGGCCTCCCCTAGGTCGACTCAGCCTTAAATTAGTGGATGGGGCACCCCTGGACCAACTCGGATATCACTCGCGTAGGAGGCATTTGTGGAACATTCTCGCGCGCGCAATATAATCGTTACATGACGTGTGAGAGCGTCTCACGTGCACTCGTGAGGATTGAATGCCGAGTTTATTTTGCTTGCCGCTGCCCAGAGAGTAGTGAGTGCTTTAGTTTCCAGCGATTCTTCGGTGATCTGTGCAGGGAATTTGCTAAATAATGTTTTCTTTGAAGTAGACAATAAACACCATTTGATGTCAATTTAAATAGCAAACCAGCTGGGACTGCATTGCAAGTGGCTTCAAAACGCGCGCTTAAAAACATTACCATCGTTACCACTAACGTTGCCCTATAATATAGACAATGTCCACTGAATTAAATAATGTAAGTATTGTTTGTTGTCGTTGTTGTGGCTGTAAGCACGGGGCATTGTGGCGCTGTGCCTCGCACAGTAGCTCAGTGGAGCAAATGGGCATGCGTTTTTGTGTCGGCGTGAGGGTTCGATTCCCGCTCACAGCCAACACCAGTGACAATTATCTCAACCGGTCCTGGGTCTCCCCGACGTCGAATCAGCCTGAAATGAGTACCTGGTGTAGTGTGTAAACATCGCCACTGGGGAGACAAAGGCGGTCAGGTGTGGTGTTGGCCACTTACCCCCTCGTGTACTGTTCCGGCCTTCATGGGTGCAAACAGCACTTGCCCCAACAGTCTGTTAAAGGCTACCTGGGGGATCTTTGTCTTTTGTCCGCTTTCACCATCGCCGTGGGGGGGGGGGGGGGGGTGCAGTGGGAGGCAGTGGCCCTGTCTCACACTCACCACATGATCTAATTTGCAGAATTACCAAATAACGTCACATTTCAGAAAACTGCACAATATATAGTGGTACCATCCAAGCTCTGGTATCAAAATGAATTTCATGAATCTTCATGTTAATTAGAAAAATAAAATCGGCAACGCATTCCAAATGCTCTGTACTAATCCGGCTATTTAGACAAAGTTGGTGGATTGCGCAGTAAAATGTCGTGAAATTCACAAATCCGCCGGACTGCATCGTGGCCGGGAGGTGGCAGGACGGCGAGTAGCTTCAGGAAACCCGCGTTTCTTGGTTCACCTTTGAGTGTTCACCTTTGAGTGTTCACCTTTGCGTGTTCACCTTTGAGTGTTCACCTTTGAGTGTTCACCTTTGAGCGTTCACTTGCGCGCGTTGTTGTATATGTCGGTTATGAAAATTTTGATGAAAATAATAAAAATTAAATGAAATTTGGAAAATTGTGTAATGATCCAAAATTATGTTAATTGCTGTAATTGTGCGCATAAATTATGCTAATTCGAGATATAATCGTATTAATTTATGCAAGTGGGTGTGATTATGCTAATTCGAGCCGTTATGATAATTAGGCCCCGCCTCGTTGACGAGGGTCGTATTATCAATCGGAATAAAACAATTAATCGTATGAAGTTAGCATGCCAGAGTAACTCGCTTCGTTGTTTAACTTCGTATTAACGCTTGGTAATACAATTATTCTCACTTTAACATTTACTGAGTGTATTAGTGTGTTTATGTCAGGTCTCCAAATTCAGATCTCAACGAAGAATACAGTTCTTGTAAATAAAATTATTAAGCATGAAACAGAAAGGAAACACACCAAACTTCTGTGTTTAAGCAATTTATTCTAAATGAAACCTTAACTCTAATATAATATGCGAACTCTTAATCTTGGAATTTTCAACACAGTATTGATACAGTAACCATCAACGATTGCATTGTTTCACTTTGGCAACGGCACATGTGATTAATTCCACCGCGTAACGCGAGCTCAGTTGGTGAGAGAGAGAGAGACGTTAAAAACATGCATACGCTATTCTAAATAAAAACCTTAACTTTATCATATGCAAATTCGTATACTTGAAAATTGCCCACACCGTCCTGCGTTCATTCATAGATCCATAAGCAACCCTCAATACAAATTCTTATCACGTTGTTTCACTTTGGGTATCAGAGCGATTAATTCTTATTCAGCGTAACACGAGCACGTGCGGCAATTATGAACGAAAGGTCTTTAACAATTATGCGACGATATTCATACGAAAAGGCAATCAAAACAGTTATTATTCCCAAAGGCACCAATATACATCAATAGATTCATCATGCTCATTCATATCATTAAAGAAATGGCTTGGAGTAAAGGCGTGCGATGGTGTGCGTGCTCTCCCCTGAGCTTCTTAACTTAGGCCAACTTTAATTAATTGTGGACAGATCGCCTGATAAGGAAACTGGTTTGATATGCTATTCCCCCCCCTCCCCATGAGCGTAGCTCCGTGGCGAAGGTGTCAAGGATTAATTCGTATTGATGAATCTATTGGTATTTTATGCGAATTAGACGTACAACCCAAACAAAGGAAT